AGCCCAGGCTGGCCTCGAACTCACAGAGATCCGCCTGCCTCTGCCTCCCAAGTGCTGGGATTAAAGGCGTGCGCCACCACCGCCCGGCGACCTAGCTGTTTTTTAAAAGAGGATATTTACAGTTAAAAAAAAAAGAGCCAAAAATCTCCATAGTCCCACTAACTCATAAGAACTATGGATGAGATGATCAAACTATACTTTTAATGAGTGAAATCAAAGTAGTCTATATACTGCAGAATATAGCAGCTAAAATGCAGAGTTGGACTTTAGTATCCAGATTCGTGCACTGACTGTCTAGGTGTCGTCCTGGGGTCAGATTTTCAACTGTTCCTGCTCTAATGGGAGTTTCAGTTGGTCTGTGCAAGTTCCTCCAGCATTAACCCTACAACTTCCAGGTCAGCAAACGATGGCTCACAGGCCAGACCAGCTTGCTGTGTCTCTGTAAGTAAAGGTTTATTAGAATCTAGGTGTACATGGTCCATGCTGTTTTCATACCACAGTGGCAAAGTCAGTCGTTTCAAGAGAGAATTCGAAGAGTGCAAATTCAAAAGCATCCACCATGTGGCCCTTTGCTCGGGACCACTTGCCGACCCTACTGTCCTTCAGCTTCTGATGTTACCATTCTTTGCTCAGATGCTGACTGGATGTCTGTCCAAAGGAAATAGACATCTACAGAGTTAAGGACGTCATGGGGGCGAGGCCCCATTGTCACCACTTAGAGACAATTACAGAGCGTGGATGGGGGCCCCGATATTTGACTGGGTGTGTAATCTGCAGTGCATGGTTTTCTTTTAATTCTGACATGTCAGGTTGGGCCTGAGTGAAAAGGCGTTGCTCAGAGTCTTGCCTAGTGTACAGGAGGCATAGCTGTGAGCAGAACATAAGAAGGCTGAAGAGGAAATAGAAAGGGCCCGTGAAAATATATTGCCTTGGAATATATCTTGGTCTCCTGTGTGTGTGCTGGTGCTGGGTGGCCAGTGTGGATGTGGAAGCAGTGATGTCAGTGGTTCCCCGGGGTGAAGAGAGAGGGGAAGCACATCACTGAGCAGAGCCAAGCCTGACTCATGGAAAAAGCTAGTCATGATGGTCTCCAGGAACCACCCTAATAGTATGTGTTGTTTTCATTGTGAATTTCAAGACCCTTCTTTAAAAAATCTAAATGATTTGACTCAAATCTAATTTATATAAATCATTTTAGTCCAGAATTAACTTTTTCATGTTTGAACTGGAAGATTCCGTTTTAGTTTTTGGTGTCCTTTAAAATGTGTGTGGAAATAGCCACCAACAGTAGAATGCTTGTGGGTAGAAGATTCCTCCATACCCCACAGCAGTGTGGGAGGGTCAACAATAGAGGAGTTTCTAGACACAGATGTCAAATATTGACCCTGTATCCTCCTGCTGTTTAATCCTCATGGTCCTGAGCTTGCTCTTTTCATTGATCAATTTGAATTCATAAAAATGCTTCGATGATAGTTAAGTAAAATAGTCTGTGTTCTTAGTCAAGAATTTAACAGATATGTATCCCTCCATACACATTGGTCATTTTAATGTGGATAATGCTTCTGGTTGTGAAGATTTGGGCTGGGTGTTTCCAGGGTTCTTATTCTTCTGGCCTCTTATCCAGATAATTAAACACAGGGGCTCACATAGATTTGCAGAAGAAGCATGATAATATTACTTGGGGCAGAGAGCTGGTACAGGTTAAAGATCTGTCACTGTCAAGACTGACAGCAAACTGCATGGGGAAAGATGCTCCGGGCCCTGATTACTGTTTGGGACTCTTTTTGTGGGGTTCAAAAAAGGGAGGAGTTGGTTACTAAGAGGTGTAGCTTGGGTGGTTCCGCATTTTGATTGATAGATTATATGATCATCTTCCCATAATGTATCTGATTTTAATCATGTACATGCCAAATCATGCACAGACATAAGATGGTAAACAGAACCTAAAAGGTTACTTGAAGACATAGCTTAGCCTTACTGAGCAATGAACCCCAAATCAGTTCAGGCCAGACCAAGCCTTCTGTTCTTCAAACCTGGCTATACTGGGAATATATTTAAACAGAAACTGTCTAGATTCCATCAATGATAGTCACGGGGAACCTTCTGCCAGATTGTTCGGAGATGGGAGCATGCACATCTAGTACAGGTGGGGGGCCGAGGGTCCTGAGGTTACTCGGTACATTGTATATGCATAGTATGTGAGGTGGGGGAGCTAGGCTGCCGCGTGCATTATTACAAGAGGCAAGCACACATGGACCAGAACCAAATGGGAGCCCCAACATACTGAACTGCCTCCTATGCTTGCCTGCCTCAGACAATGCGTTGAAACTCCGTGGGAGACGCTTGGTTTATGAACCATGAAAAAATATATTGCTGTCGTCTGTACCTCTTCTACTTGATGCCTCATCTTACTCTGAAGTAGTAAAGATGAAAACATGAAGAGAAATACCTCAGTGGTGCCTGTCCTGGAGTCATTTCTGTTGCTGGGATAAAATGCCCCAACATATACCACTTAGATAGGAACGGATTTATCTGGCTCACAATTCCAGCTTCCAGTCCATCAATCCAGGGAAGCCAGACCTCAAGCAGCTGGCCACATCATATCCACAGTCAATAGAAGATAGACTATATGCATCCTCACTTGGTCCTGGGCTTCCTCTCTGTCCTCTTCATAGCCCAGGGTCCAGCCCATGAAATGGCACCACCAACATTCAGAGTGAATCTTCCCACCTTGATTTACCATGAAAACAATCCCGCACAGGTGTGTCTACAGACCAACATGATCTAGATGGTTAAACAGCATAATACTCTTACGTTTAGAAGGGTTTCTAGGGAACAGGTGTTGTATTAGCCAGGATGCTGAAAGGAAAGATACATAGTAATGTAAAGGGAATTTGATCTGAAGCAGTTTAGCATCGGTTTATCTTCAGATGTTTTCCTGAGTTAACTGCATCTCTGCAGATCCGACCTATTGAAAATACTGGACAAACTCCCTATGGCCAGTTTTGAAGATGGGATTGTGACGGGCCCAGAAGTTCAGGAACATCATTTTAATTTTGTAACGTTAACAACAAGTTTACACTATGCAGGTGTATCTTGCTGTAAAATGCTGCTGACATCTGTGTTTCTCATCTAGATCACTGTTACAGATGAAGAAGTGAGTAACCCATCCTTTTTAGACCTTGTGAGAACGCCCCAAATGAGGAAATGCACACTTATTCTTATGTATGCTTGGTAAGTTGACTTGGGCTGGGTTTCAAAGCTGGGATCAAGTACATAGTTCATCATTTCCTTCTGCTCACAGGTCCTTTCTCTCTTAATTTGCTTCCCTGGTGTCTTCTGATGTTTTGCAGGTTCACAAGTGCCGTGGTCTACCAAGGACTTGTCATGCGCCTGGGAATTGTCGGAGGCAACCTCTACATAGACTTCTTCATCTCGGGGCTTGTGGAGCTACCCGGAGCACTCTTGATCCTTCTGACCATTGAGCGTCTTGGACGACGCCTTCCCTTTGCAGCAAGCAATATAGTGGCTGGTGTGGCATGCCTGGTCACTGCATTCTTACCAGAAGGTAGTCTTCCTTCACATTTAGTTGACCGTTCCCAAAGAACGTGACAAAAATGTAATGATGACATATGGCCCAGTGGGTAGGGGCCACTCGTCTTTGTGAGCTGTGCTATTTCTTCAAAGGCTTGGCACCAGGCAAGCTTGGGTGGTACCACTCTATTTTCTGTTTCATGAATGCAAAGACTGATACGCAGATACCTCTCTTTACTGAAATGTTAGGTTTGTTTATTGATGAAAAGGGGATGATGCTAGATCTAGGTCATAGTGATGTGATGTCGCCGATACTGTTTAACATATTTCCCAAGCATCTACCAGGCTGCAGACACCAAGCTGCACCCCAGGTTAGGGGCAGAAGGAAGATGTGGCTTTATATGGCTCATAGCCTATTAAGAGACATAGACATTTTAATAATGTCACAACAAGAATGTGGTCAATTAATACAATTGACAAAGGTGTGGGAGAAGTAGGGGGAGGGAGAGGAGGGGGAGGGAGGGAGAAGTTCTGTGTAGGCCCAAGGGAGGAGTCATAACTCTTTACGAGCAGCCATCTCTTCCTGTTATTTTTCCCAAAACCATGAAAAGTTTTGTGAGTTCAGGAACTCGGGCTTCTCTGTTATTGCTAGAAACTGTCTTGAGGAAGACAGAGGCTGGTCAGCCCCCAGCCCGACTGTCCCCTTCGGACGTGGCGGGAGCTTGGTGCTACCTGCGAACTTCTGGAGCAGGGACTGTGAGCTGCTCACACCTGAAGCAGTTTGGGACATGGCGAGAGGGAGAGAGGCCAGGGTGTCGCTTGCACCCGGGGAAGTCTGGCTGGGATGGAGAGGATGGTTCCTTATAGAGAAGTTGCAGAGGTCAATATTCCAGGGCTTGGGGGCTGGCTGGTGGGGGTCAGGAGGAGGAAGGGGGTGGGGAAAGGATCGCAAAAGACTCCAGATGCTCCGTCAACAGCCCAGGTGACCTCTGCCACAGAACACAGCTGGAGCTACAAAGAGGAAGCCGTTCTTAAACCACACACACACACACACACACACACCGCAAGGCGTGAATTGGAGCACAGGAGGCATGTATCCTGGGTGTGCAATGGAGGCTTATGCAGGAAGCGGGGTTCTCCTCAGTCCCTGTACCTGTGAAGGAAGCAGTCTGTCTCTGAGAATGCTGAGGGCCAGGAAAGAGGGCACTGCTAGAGTTGAAGAGATCAGAGCAGACACACACAGAGGAGACTTCATATTAGACACTGGTCCACGAATTCCCAAGAGAGCAGTTAGACCTTCCTTGGATAACACTACAGAAATGCCAATCCTCAGAACAGAGAAGGTAAAGGATGTGCAATTCCATCCTGCTGCAATGGCTGATGAAAAGCAAAAACTCAGGTTTCTCTCCTTTTTCTCAAGTGCCTCCGGCTCCCAGGGCTGCAGCAATGAATCTCCACCAGCTGGGTGGCTGGACAGCAGACAATCCCCCACATAAGGGTGACCTCTAAAAGCACAGGCAGGGCCGTTCCTCCCAGAGCCTCTGAGCTAGCAGCGTCTCTAGCCTCTCTCTGGTCACCCTCATCATTTCCTGGTGTCTCTCTCTTCATGTGACACTCGCCCTCTTGGTCTCTATTCCCAAATATGATCACATTCCAAGCTTCCAAGTAAAGATGAATCCGAAGAAACACAAATAGCCCATTGCACAATCGGCCTATCTTAAGAGCTGCAGAAGCTGGGGCTGGGGGGAATGGCTCAGTGGTTAAGAGTACTGGCTGCTCCTCCAGGGGTCACAGATTCGGTCCCCAGCACCCACTTCAGGTGGCTCCCAACCACCTGTAACTCCAGGTCCAAGGTATCTGATGTCTTCTTCCGACCTTGAGAGACAGACAGACTTATCTGATGCCCTCTTCCGAACTCCACAGATTCACACACACACACACACACACACACACACACACACACACACACACACACACAAATAAAAATAAAAATAAAAATAGATCTTTAAAAAAGAGCCACAGAAGCTGAATAATAGCCATCCATCTGTGCGTTAGTGCCTATCTATTTGATATTGATTAATTGATGGCCACTAAACAGGAAAATGAATATACAGGAACAAAAGAAACATGTTTGCTTTCCTCAGAGGTACACAATTTCGATTAAAGGGTGAAAACTTAAGAATGTTATAGAATTCTCTGCTTGGAAATTCTTTCTCTCCCTCCCTCCCTCTCTTCCTCCTTGCCTCCCTCTCTCTCTCCCTCCCTTCCTCTCCCCGTCCCTCTGTCTCTCACTCTGTATGTGTTCATGTGTGTGCAAGTGCTCATGTTGGCGTGGGTGTTTCCAGCCATGTGCAGACCTGAGGTCAGCCTGTGTGTCCTTGCTCAGCGCCATCTGCTCCGTCTCTTGGGACAGGGTCTCTAGCTAGCCTGCAGTTTACTAAGTAGGCAAGGCTACTTGGCCAGTGAGCCCTGGGCTCCTTGTCTCCACTTGCCTAGCACTGGGATGTCAAGCAATCCCCACCACTCTTGACCTTTTCATGTGGCTTCTGGGAATCAAACCGTGGTCCTCATAAGTGCTTTTATAGTCAAGAGTCTGCTACGATTGATGGGCCAGAATAAGTTATGAATTCCGTGTATGAACAGAAGCCCCTCCCTTCAGTAAGCACCCCTTCTAATTTAAAGGGCTTTTGGCCTTGACTCCTAGGACAGACTGTGAAATTAGGAATGCCTTTCTAAGCCTTTCTTCCTAGCGGGACTTGACATCATCTCAGCCCCTGGTCAACTCTGAAAATCACTTCTCTGAAACCTTTCTTTTTATGGTCTGAGAATGAACTTGAGAAAAAGAAATGATCTTCCCGGCTAACTGTTAAGATTCACTGTCTAGAAAGCAAACCTCTGAAGTCTGAAAAGTCACCACTTTCTGTAGACATAGCCAGCTGTCCTCTTCAATTCTACTCAGTGTGGCTACAGACCTGGCAGTGGAGGCAAATCCCCTTCCCAGAACAAGGCTATCTTTTACTTTATTTAAGTAAAAAGTGCATCTGTCTATCCAATTTACATATCTTTGTTAGGACTTTTCTCTAGACTTTATTTCTGGACTCAGCAGATGGTACATCCAGAGGAGAGTGCAAGTTATGTGTTTTTAAATTCTATATCTTTTCTTCCAAAGCTGAGCTTCAAGACTCTAGCTGCCTGAGCAAGGCCCTCATCCACAGAGGAAGATCATTTCTCTGTGTTCTCTCATGACTACAGAAAGTGACTTTAGATGTTATGGTCATTTTTCATCTATATGAGCATGTGTGGGAAGAAAGAGGGAGAGAGACAGACAGATACACTCACACAGAGACAGACAGACAGACAGATAGACACAGAGAGAGAGAGAGAGAGAGAGAGAGAGAGAGAGAGAGAGAGAGAGAGAGAGAGAGCTTGTGCATTTTTTTAATAACCCTGGCTGACATCAAACTTGCTATGTAGCTGAGTATGACCTTAACTGTAGTCAGACTTTCTTTCTTTGGGGACCTCCAGCCTCCAAATAATGGCATGGAGACAGGAGGTGTGTGCCACCACCTCCTGACCCCATATTTTTTAGAAGAGTTATTATTATCATTATCATTATCATTATTATTATTATTAATTAAAGCGTCACCTTTAGCTAAGGCTTGTTCCCAACTAGCTCTTACAACTTAAATTAACCTGCCTCTATTGATCTCCAGTCTGCCATGTGGCTTTTTACCTCTCCTCCATTGTATGTCTGACTCCCTCCTGTCTCTCTGGCGTCTCTCTCACACACCCAGATTCATCCCAAGTTCCCCTCTCTGCCCAGACGTCCCGCCTAACCTCTCCTGCCTGGCTATTAGCCCTTCAGCTCTTTATTAAACCAATCGGGTGCCTTAGGCAGGCAAGGTAAAACAGCGACACATTTCTACACAGTTTGCTCAAGTGTCTCACAACATGTAACTTTTAATCCTCCTGCCTCTCCCTGCTGAGTGCTGGGACTCCAGATGCCGCCATTGCCCAGTTTATATGTGTTGGGCATGGAACCCAGGACTTTGTGCATACTGGGCAGACACTCTGCTAGCTGAGCTACATCCTCCATCCCTGATTTTTTTTTTTTTAGTTTGTCTTTACCATAAAAAAATGTCTATTATTAGAATGATCAATGGTTTTCATTTCTGTACATAATTATATATAATTTACATCTGTTAGTGAACTTTTTTCAAGTTAATGTAGTATAGTATCTTTGGGACTCCCCCCCCCCCTCCCAACAAAAGCTCTGTGCCAGCATGCACTGCTCAGGAATGAGTTGAAAGTCTTTAGACCAAGTCTTGTAGGACAGACCACTTCTTCAAGGGTGTCAGACTTGTAGCACTTCCTGTTCTATCAAATTGACTAGTTATTTGTGAATTAACCAAATATTTTTTATGATGGTAGTGGTAGTGGTATGTGTATATGTAGAAAGAACATGGATATATTTTAATTTGGTTTCTTAGTCTTATTTTTTTTCCATTGAACAATTTAAGCCTTAGTTATAAACCTAAACAGACATTGAACTTATCGGTGGGACTCACAACAGCCGTCTTGCTATTAGTAAAGAGACTTGGACTGATGCACCTACTTTGGACAGTGGTTTCTATAGACTCCTCTGTGGCCGCCCTTATCAACCCATTGGCTGTGACCTAGGGCATCTGGGTGAGCTTCCACTTTCCACCTCCTGCAGCAACTGCTCCCTGATGGACAAGGGTGGAATGCATTTTCTAGTCCCCTCCTGGCTCTCATGAGAAAGTAAAGCCTAAGTAAAACACATGTTTACAGCTGTTCTGTGTCCAAGCAGGTGGTGCCCAGTGCATGAGCTCAGCTCTGACCTACCTCACTCCCCGACTTAACTACTGCTGCGACAGCTGCAGGTGTCCCATCCCCAAATACATCAAGTGCACTGGAATGTCCTTGGCCAGCTTGCAACTAAATCTTAATTAACGGGGGCTTCCCAGCAATGATCTGGGCTTTCAAAACCTCTATCTCTGCTTGCCTTTCTGACAGCTGTTTGTAGTTCGGGTTTTTTAATCTGTTGAATATTCTCTAGAGTGAGCACACATTGCTGAGCTTAATGCTTTTGTTCATCATCCTTATTTGTGGCCACTCTTCTAAAATAAAATGGGGTCAGGAGGTGGTGGCACACATCTTTAATCCCAGCACTTGGGAGGCAGAGGCAGGTGGATCTCTGTGAGTTCGAGGCCAGCCTGGTCTACAGAGCAAGTTCCAGGATAGCCAGGGCTATGCAAAGAAACCCTGTCTGTCTATCTCTCTATCTCTCTATCTCTCTATCTATCTCTCTATCTATCTCTCTATCTCTCTATCTATCTATCTATCTATCTATCTATCTATCTATCTATCTATCTATCTATCTATCTATCTATGCCTTGTGTGGTGGTATATGCCTAGAATGCCCAGAATCTAGCACTCAGGAGGATGACACAGGAGGATTAAGAGTTCAAGACCAGCTTGAGCTTGACTTTGTCTCAAAAAACAAAACAACAACAACAACAACAACAACAACAAAAACAAAAAACGAGGGTTGCAATCTAACTCAGTGGTGAGCACTTAGCTGCCATGCATAAGGTCCTGGGGTCAGGCCTCAGCACAAGATAATAATGCCTAATTAGACCTTCAAGAAGATGCAATGTTTGTCTAAGAGAGAAGAGAATGATCTGGTGCTGTGTGAACCTCTGTGTCCAGAGATGCTGGTACCCCAGCTGTGCATTGACAAGCAGATATGGTCTTTATTCAGTCCCCTGCCCTCATACTGGTCCTCCTGGATAGGACGACATACATTGTATAACTTGTAAGATGTTCAGAGGCCTGACTTTTTAGGATTAAAATGTTGAGTTCCATCTGCCCTTAAAACAAAAGAAAGGAAATGTTTCCTGGAGAATATTTGCTATGTCCCATCATTACGGTAGAAGATGGTGGGGGGTCTTCTTCATCCAGTGAAAGTAGCTGGTCCTAAAGCAGTCCACGTTGTAAGGTTAGCCAGTTTGTGTGCGTGCATCTGGCTCTTTCTGGAGAAGTTCCTGGAGGAGGAAGCAGGGTTGGGGATGAAGGCAATGAAGGAAACCCGCCGTGGGGATAACACGAAACCAAAATCCCTTTCCAAGGATCCCAGTTCGCAAAGCCTTCTTCCTTCTCCCTGGGAACCAGCTTAGCTGAGGAGAACAGCTTTCAGCCTTTTGGTTCTGTGCAGAGTGAAGATGCACACCTGCCTGGCATGGTTTTTAAGGGGACACAGAGAGACTTCCTTTCATATCAAGGCCGGTGTGCTCGGGCTCTCCAGGACAGCACTGCCTGGGACATTATTTCAATGCAGTGACTGCTCAGCAGTTTTTAATTGTATTTCTACAGTCTCTCCCCACTCAGAAAAGCATCTTCCGCCGGCAGCCAGGGCGCATCCCAGCACTCGGGAGGCAGAGGCAGGTGGATCTCTGTGAGTTCAAGGCCAGCCTAGGCTACAGAGTAAGATCCAGGAAAGGCACAAAGCTACACAGAGAAACCCTGTCTCGAAAAACAAAACAAAACAAACAAACAAGCAAAAAAGAAAGAAAGAAAAGCATCTTCCATGCCCTGAATGTTACCTATCAAGTTGGCATTAATGAAATTTGTCTAAAATATAATTTTTTTACCATTTATGCTTAAATTATCAAGGATTTAGGTTGGGAGGACCAATGAATACTTTTTGTTTTTTTGTGTAATCTTGATGAGATTGTCAGGCCCCTAACTTTCCCCTTTTAAACATTCTGTTCACAGGGATAACATGGCTGAGGACTCTAGTTGCTACCCTGGGAAGACTAGGCATAACCATGGCCTTTGAAATTGTTTATTTGGTAAATTCGGAGTTGTACCCAACAACATTACGGTAACTCTGGCATATATGTTGCCATTTCTTCTAAGTAACTATAGCCAAATGTTTCCAAGGTTCATGATATGTTAACCTGGGCTCGATTCAGCCTCATAAGACAATGGACTTGGAGTTGTAGCTTCTGTTTGCTACCTGCTGCATTTGGTGACAGAAGTATGTCTTGTGAGAGTAGCTTGAGACGGAGCTGTGAATTGTGAAAAGGCACTAACCTGGGGACAGAAAGCCTCCTAGCGTGCCTGCTTAGACTGTAGGTTAGGTCTGCATTCGCCAGCAGCACCCTGAATCAAGGCTAAGCCTTTTCTGACATCATCGCCTGTCTGGCTTTGTGAGCAGCTGGTTATGAAAGGAGCATTCATGGGCTTGCGCAGATTGGCTTTCTTGCCTGATGCTATATTCCTACGGGTGTAACTTGCAGGGTACCAAAGTGACCTTTGAGTGTCAGGGACTGGCAGGCTATGGAGCTGCTGATGGAGAAACATCTTTTCACCAGCGCTGGAGACACTCCCTCCCTAGCCTCACTGCCGAACAGTACAGAATGGGAAAGGCTTGTTTAGAGCAGGAGATCGTAGTAGCTGTCAAAGCTGGAAATGATAGAAATAGTACTGACACAACTTCTGTAATTTAGTATGTCAGAATATTTTTATTATTCTGAATGTGTCTTAAAAACGTCCATCTGAAAGTATGTTTTAAACTACAGGAACTTTGGGGTTTCGCTCTGCTCAGGCTTGTGTGACTTTGGGGGGATCATAGCTCCATTTCTACTCTTCCGACTAGCAGCTGTGTGGCTAGAACTACCTCTGATCATCTTTGGTAAGAATTCGTTTGTGTGGGAGTGAGTGTGTGTGTGGAGGGGTGGTGCACGTGTGTATGTAGGTGCAAAGGCACATGTGTGCACAGGCTTGCAGAGGCCAGAGGTCAACCTCTGGGGCTGTTTCTCAGGAGCAATCCATCTTGTTATCAAGACAAGGTTTCTCATGAGCCTCACCAACTGGACCAGGCTAGCCAGCCGGTGAGTCCCAGGGATCCATTCACAACACTGGAATTACAAGTTCATGCTACCACTATGTTGCCACACCACTATGCCACCATGCAATCATGCCACCATACTACCATGCCCCCATGCTATCATGACACCATGCTACCATGCCCCCATGCCACTATACAGCCATGCCACTATACTACCATACTACCATGCCACCATGCTATCATGCCACCATGCCCCCATGCTACCATGCCACCATGCTATCATGCCACCATGCCCCCATGCTACCATGCTCAGCTTTTGACTTTTCTTCTGCAGCTAGAACACGGGTTCTCATGCTTGTGGGACAGACATTTTCTGACTCAGGTACATGCTAGTCTCAAGTCCTCTCACTTATTCATGCATGGCAGAACCTGCCATGGTCACTGGGTTGCTAATGATGACATCCATCCCATCTTTTTATGACTGTTCTGGCTTTAAAGAGCCAATCTGATTGCCATCCCATTCAAAGTGCTAAATGGCTTAAAGTCACTTTACATGAACAGGTTGTGGTAAACAAGTGTTCATGTCAGCTTCCGCTGTTAGGTTCTGAGTTAAAATCAGACACTGTGAAATTCTTCTATGATTTTGGAAAATGAAAACATCAGTTTCCAGAGACCAAATTTTAGCTTCATTTTCTTATGTATAAAGATGGGCCTAGAAGCTAATTGTATCTCCTAAAGTATTCAATATATAAATTTGCTCTGATACTAAAAGTGCTTTGTTAAAAAAAAAATAGAGGACACAAAATTACTTCTACACGTACCCTGATCACCCATGTCCCTCATGCGTCCTGTGTGGGGATACTGCAGACTGGAGGCCCACAGCCCATCTTGTTCTAGTACATTGTGCAATGAGGACAGGCTGGCGGCTTGACATGCGCACTCAGGCGTGTTGACACCATGGGAATGGGCAAGGCAGAAAGCCAGCTCTTTATTTTCAGGAGCCAGCTGCTAAAGCCCACTACTACTCCATGGAAAAGGAATAGTAGAGATCGCATTTTCCACAAGTTTGTAAAGCCCTAAAGAGCAGCAAAGGGAAGTGGTAACCAGGGATTGGTATGGGATTAGTAGCTCATGGAAGAAGAGAGTTAGTGTGTTTGAACACTCTGACAACAGACTGAAGATGTCTGGGAAGTGGATTAAAGACTGTGAAAAAGAATACCCCAAAGACAGGCATAGATGAGGCTTTGCCTGGAAGGAGAGTGTCCTTAGACTACAATGTGACAGGAGAATCACAGGAAGACAATAGGTAGAGGGGGCTCCTTCCACTGACTCTGTCTTCCCAGTGAACAGCAGAGGCCTGGAGTGTCTGGAACTTGCCAGATGCACTTTAAGCATGGCCACACATCACATGCAGCCTCACAGCCCACATGGTGGCACCCGTAAGACCGCATCACCTAGTGATGTCATGGCTGCCGTGGTTTACCTGCACCCACTCCATGGTGGTTGCACAATGAAATCACTACATGTCTCAGTGTATGTCCCTACCGTTACATGACACCTGACTGTCAGTGTATACCCAGAGCACAGGGACCATAAGCTGCGCAGAACTGAAGAAGGTGGTCAGGGTGAGCAGAGCAGTGTGGTTGTTGGAGGCACGTGAGGTCAGGGAGTGCGCCTATGTAGAGGTGGGAAGGGTCAATCTGTGTGTTTCTGGGTTGTCATGTCTCTCCCCATCTGGCAGGCATCCTGGCGTCTATCTGTGGTGGCCTCGTGATGCTGTTGCCTGAAACCAAGGGCATTGCCTTGCCGGAAACAGTGGACGACGTAGAAAAGCTTGGCAGGTACTACATGAGATTCAATACTCCCTAAATGAAAGCATTCTGTTAAGCCATGGGGCATTGATTATCCACAAGGGAAATGACATTAAGTCTTCATTTAATACCTTAAAACACTCAAAAGATTAAAACGGTTAATGCAAAAGAACTTAGAGCTATAAAAAGAATGTGAGCTATTTTTAAAACATGACTGAGTAGCATTTCCTAGTAAGGTGTTAAAACTCAAGTGATTTAAACCAGGGGCTAATGATGAGGCAGCGACAAAGCCCAAATGCGCATCAGTGAGGAACTGATGGGAAGATGGCAGTGCATCAGAACATGGACCACCCTCTGAGAGGAAAAGAAGTAGGCCTGTCTTATGGAATGACACAGACATTCCTCAAGACCCATTACAAAGGGAAATGCAAGCAGTGGGGGTAGTATCATTTCAAAAGAAGCCAACAATGCTACATGGGAACAAATATGACAGATAAAAGAGAGCTGGATTATTGATAGATGGGGATAAAGTAAGATAAATGATGATACATAGAAATTAGATAAAAGATAAGATAATAGATAAATGATTACTTGATAAATACGTAAGTTAGAAATAAAGATAAGGAAGACACTAGATACACAGATGATAAATAAGTAGATAGATAGATAGATAGATAGATAGATAGATAGATAGATAGATAGATAGATAGATAGATAGATAGACAGACAGATAGACAACAGGAAAGAGATCTCAAGTTTTGGAGGGAATATCTATATTGTTTTCTGGTTATATGTTGATTAATTTCTAACCAATACATAAATTTGAAGAATTATATCAACAAAAAATTTCCTATATACATTTTTTTACCATTTCCTCTGAAACATCTCACAATACAAAGATAGAAACGTGAATGTGTAATAATTTTTTAAAATGGTCAAACAGTAATCTTCCCCCAGTGGGAAAGTCCATGAGTGGGAAGGACATAGGAGGAGGGCTGGCCTCTTTCTGTCTACATAATTAATCGGTTTCAATTAGATGGCGTGGTCTGGTGTTATTTGCATACTTAACAAATAATTTAGTGCTATATTAAAGTAAAATACATTAAAGGTAAATAATCTTACTGAAGCAGAAATTAAGGGTAGACATCTACATTTTAAAAGTTACCAAATAGATGCATTTTAAAAAGACTCAATTTTATTCCTCTCAAGGTGTTTTTTTTCTCTTTGTTCATAGGCTGGGAAGAAGGTAGAAGTTCATGATTTTAAAATATCAACAATATTTTTAAATACCTATATGCCCCATGGTTTTCCATATGCTCTTTCCTTTAATACTCAAAACAATTTTGTAAAGTAGAAATTTTTTCATTCCCATTTGGGAAATCAGAAAGGCTTTCCTCCATGTATCTAATGTTGCTGATGCAGTTGGGTGCTCTAGGGTGACTGCATTGTGTGTGGTTTTATTTTATTCTGCATTCTATTGTGATATATTCAGAAGAGTGAAGAGCACTATGGTAAGACTGGAAAGTCCCTTCCTGAGACCCACACCCTTACCCTCTGCAGAAGTAGGCAACCATTGTGAAGGTCTCATGAATATTCTACCTGGCCTTGAAAACTTTGCAAGGTGACTGTTAACTTATACTGTTACCTCTTGTCCTGTTTTCTGATCCTGTTTTGAAAAACTGGTTGATTAATCAATCACCCCCAAAACTTTCCTTAGCAGTCTATATTATGAGCAAAATAAAACCTTACTCAATTTCCATTGGTTGCCTATCGATGGGATGGGCCAATCAGAGGACAGGGGCGGGTCCTGTCGTCCCCCTCCCCACCAAAGGAGTCAAGCGGATTCCTGTACTGGTTTGGAATATAAACGATGGGCAGCTCCACTTCTAGCTCTTCCTTTCCGCTCTCCAACAGAGCTGTCAGAAATTTGGGGTTGGGGAGAGTTCCTCCCACTTCATAAAACACAACTACGCTGATTGAAGTCCCACATTAAAATTATTTCGACTATAGGAAGTCCTCCTGAGCCTTCTGCCAGGAAGGCAGGGCCTTGCTCTTTCCCAATGGAGAAATGTTATCTTTGTATTATTGTAGCCAATTGCTTGGTTGGTGTCAGGGTACAGGCTCTGAGCCAGGAGTCAGGGTACAGGGGTGCTGCCCCCACCCCAAGTTACAGTCATGCTAGAGGACCAGAGGATAGGAGAATGTTCACAATGTTCACCACTATTAAGTGAAACGAGGGGTCGCAATGAGGAAGGAAATTCGTCTGTCTTAAAATAACGAATCCAGGGGCCAAAGGGGCGGCTCAGTGGCTATGAGCACTGACTGCTCTTGCAGAGGATTGGGGTTCAGTTGCCAGCACCCACATGGTGTCTCAAACTACCTGTAACTGTAGTTTGAGCAGACCCAACTCCTTCTCCTGACCTCCTTGGGCACCAGGCACACACATGATGCACATATGTACATAAGGGCAAAACACATACATAATAGAGAAATCTAATTTAAAATATATGTGATAATATATTCTAGTATAAATATATACTGACATGTAATATAATATAAATAAATCTAACATAAAGTGTATTTTAAAATATTTTTAAGTTCCACCTAGTGATGGGTATTTCTCAGGGGCTTATGTGTGCCTCGCTTTGGTCAGGGTCATAGATCAACAGCGAGAAGGAACCTTGTGCTGGATGATGATGAAGCCTGGGAATGTCTCTCTGTGACTCCCAGACTGCCAGAATCAGCAGAAGGGGTGTAGTCCCTTCACATTGCCTGCCTTACTGGTGAGCCAGCTCCAACAAGAGACCCTGAACAGTCTTCCCTGTGATGCATCCTACCGACGTCAATAGCCTATGAGATAAAGAGAGCAAGCGCTCTTTCCTGACCCCAGACCACCCGGGGTCAGGCTTTCTAACCATAGAGCTCTGGAGAAGAGCAAGAGAAAATCATTCGAGTTCAGGACTCTCCCACCAACTCATTCACCCTAACATTAGGTTAAAACACTGGACAAGAGAGTGAGATTTTTAGGAGTTAGAAGGATCTAAAAGGTCTGTAGGAAAAATCAATTATTCAAAGTATTATAGAAATATACAGAGAAATAGACAAACAAAAAAATTTAACTGGGCACAAATTCTCACTTTTTCATGCTCACAAATTTCCGTAATAGAAAATGGAGTAAATTAATCGTGCCTAGTCTCTACTTTTTGGAAAGCCATATTGTGGGCCTGGAGAGATGAACTCAGCGGTTAAGAGCATGTACTGTTCTTGCCAAGGACCTGGGTTTGGTTCCCGGCACCCACATGGTGACTCACACCCCCCTGTAACTCAGTTCCATTGGATCCAGCACCCTCTTCTGCCCTCCTTAGAAATACACACATTTACGTATGTGGAGACAAAACACTCGTACACACAAAACAAATCTAAATTCTTTTAAAAAAAGAAAAGCAAAGTAGAATTTACAGTTCTACAACTAAGATGGCCCATAATTATTTACTGTAAATTGAAACTACCTAACGCCAGGTTTTAAATCCTATCAGCATTCTTCCTTCGGAAACCAGACAGGCTCCATCTCCTGTCCACAGCTCGGTTCTAAGCCATGTCATTTTGTAGAAATTTTAAGGCACTCATGTGGCCCTTATGTGGAAAGTGAACCTAGAGCCGTTTCTTATGTTTGCAGTGGGAAAGTTAGAGGACTGCATGGATGTGTTTGATAAAGCAAGCCGGGCTGGTGAGGAATAACCAGGCTACCTTCTAGTGATGTTCAACCTTCTTTCCCAACGCTGCGACCTCTTAATACAGTTCCTCACGTTGTGGTGACCCCCGACCCTAAAATGATTTTCGTTGTTACTTCATAACTGTAATTTTGCTACCGTTATGAACTGTAAAATAAATGACCTGATATGTAGATGGTCTTCCACAAACCCTGCGAAAGGGGTCATGACCCCTGAGTTGAGAACCACTGTAATCTAAGTCACCGCATGACCTTTCACAAGGACTTCCCCTGTTCTTTTTGTCTTGGCAGCTCACAGTTGCCTCAGTGTGGCAGGAAAAAGAAAACCCAGGTTTCCAGTTCTAATGTCTGAGGCCCCTACATCGCCTGGAGGACCAGAGCTGTGTGGTTAACCCCCATACCCAGGAGAAGCTGAGCCTGGTGGGAATATGCCTGTGTGGCATGTTTCGGCTCCTCCAGGCAGTGCCCTTCCAGGGAACCTTAAAGCCGGAGTATTTTGTATGCTATAGGATGAGTGAGGTTTATCTTGCTACCCAAGCTTCTGGGAACACATAACCTTTGACCTGTTTAGCAAAGCACCTGTAAGTACACGGATTCTGCCTAGGTTTTCTTTGTTGGGAGCAATGTCTCTGACCAGTGGGTTAAGGAGAGATGAGAGAGCCTCAATGGGTCCTCAGGACAGCCCCATCCCGGAGGCAGGCTGACCAACCCAAGGACTGGCATGTGCACAGAAATGTGCTCCTCTCATCTGATCAAGACAGCAGCGAGCTGCGTTCTGAAGAGTCTGAGGACTGCTGTGTCTGCTTCCTTTGAGCTCCGAACACACGCCTTCACAGAGCCGACCTGTCTGTCAGGTGCCACATCCGTCCCTGTGTCCCATGTAGTCCCCCACCCCATCCGTCCTCCGCAGCCTCTTGAGGTCCCAGGCCCCAGGCTAGGCACAGTTCCCTAAACAAGAACACATCACAGATCTACAACACCTTTTGAGAACCTGGCCATATTATCATAAGGTCATATTGGGCTCCCGAGACCCCCGATATTTTGTGCCCTCCTTCGGTGGACCCTTGTAACCGCAGGTTCTTAACTAAGGAAGAGAAAACATGGATTATGATTTCTTGGGTCTTAGAATTTGAAAAGTAAAAGAATAATTACGTCCCATTTGTGAATTCAGTTCTAATGGTGCTTGTGGCTGGGAGTCATAAGCACACACAGCCTGTTTTCATTCCATCTCAGCACTTTTGACTTGTCTTGACGGGGGTGGGGGATTTATTTTCATTTAAAAGGAAAGTCAATTGTATCCACACTTAAAAGAATTAGCAGCTACTTTATAAGTGACTTAAATGTCTTTTTCTTTTTAAATGAAGGCTTTTCAAGTGTGAGACTCAAATGCAAATACAGTGGTCCCTGTTGTGTGCTGTTCTCAATATATTTTCAGACTCGGTGTGTCTCTTAGGCTGAATTTTTTTTGATTGTTTGTTTTTACTTCAAACTTGGTGTGGACAGGCAAAATTCATGCTGAAGGGAAGCCTTGCCAATATGGAAGAAGAGAAAATGTGTATGTAGAGAATATATGTGTCTCTGATACCATAGAAAATGTGTGTGATGAGTGCAAAAAAAAAAAAAAACCCAAACATTTTAACCCTTAAAGCACGTGAGAACCGTATGGGGGTTTTCAGGCCCTCAACAGCTTTTCGGGTGTTCGATGCCACACACACACCGCGCGCACGGGCGTTTGTACTGTGCTTTCCAATGCGTTTCATTGCCGCACGCAGCACAGCTCATGCTCACTTTACGGTCGCCTTTGGATTGCATTTGGAGTTGACAGTTGTGTTTCATAACAATAAACAATTTTTAAACTGTTTTTAAAAATATCCCTCCCTCCCTCCTCCCTCTGAACATGTGCCACAGTAAAACACTGTCCCACGGAACAGTGTGTGTTGCTTTCTGTCTCCAGACTGGGAAATAACGCTGCTTGGCTGTTGGTCTGCTGTTCCTTTATGGGCTCCTGGCACGGGTCACGCATCGGATGTGACCCGCAATAACGTTCAGGCTCTCAGCTGCTCTTGTATTAGATTTCCACCACAACTCAGCTATACAATTCAGCCTCACATCCCAGGATCTGGGCTGGAGCCCAGTTGTCGGTACCAGATTTCAATCCCCAGAATAGAACTCTTTCTCCTGACTGCTCGTACATGTGGCAGCTTTGAAAACAATATTCTCGGTGCCAGAAAGGGAGACATTGAAGATGTATGTCAGGCTATCGTTAGCTGACGAGGTCAATGTGCAAGTGACTTACTGAGACCTTCAGTTCTCTTCCCGGTGCCCTTACCGTCTGCTTAGTCCTATGGGCAGCTGGCCCTTAGGAAAACAAACTAAGTCACTGCAGTCAGTTGTTTTCAAATTGTTAGGGTGAATGAAGAGTGTGAAAATATTGAAGACTCCCCTTACCCCCCAAAACCAACTCAAAACAAAGTAAGTATAGAGTTTATTTTCAACAAATGCCATAGCAGTGTTGGTCTATTATCACAAAACCCAGAAGTCCACAGACAGGAAAAAATTTACCCAGAATAATACAAAAAAAGGGGGGGGGGCGAGCGGTGACAGGGGGTGGGGATTCGGTGTAGAGTCTCGGTTTGATTACTGTCAATTATTTCCAAGAACCCTAAGTCCTCTCCCCACATTTCAGCTCCTAGGACGTTTTAGTAAGTGGATGTTGTGCTCTGCCTCCCGCCCCATTAATTATTTTTCATCACTTCTTCTATCCAATTGACGAAGCGTGAGACACGAACGTAGACGCCGGGCTTATTGGGGCGAGCACAGCCAAGACCCCAAGAAGTGACTCCTTGTAAAATGTACTTGTCCTTCTCGAAGCAAACAAGAGGTCCTCCACTGTCGCCCTAGACGGAGGAGGAAAGAGTGCGTGTGAGGATTGAGCTACGCCTTTCTACTATGGGATGTCGTCTTTGGTCTGGTTTCCTCTCCTGGCCCTGGGCCGTCAAGACGGGTCAACCCAAGTCCGTATCGGTCTGGTTTCTTACCTGGCAGCTGTCGGTGCCACCCGACAAGTTCCCGGCACAAAGCTCGGTGGGTTTGACCCTGCCGTTGAGATACTCGTACCGGTTGCACACCTTGTTTTCGATCACGGGCAGCTGGGCCTCCTTGAGAAGGCCAGCACCGAAAGTCCCTGTGAGGAACAGCAAAGGCGTGGTTAGAAGTCTAATACGGGCTCCCCAGGAAACGTCCAGAGGACAGAGTGGCAGTTCTAGAGCTCTCGTTTGTGCGGTCGGGTAGCTCAAGGATGCACCGCTAACACGTCTTAGCCTTTTGGGTTGTAAACGTTATACAAGATGTTATGTTCCCAAGACCTGCCATGGCATTGCCAACTTCTTCATGGTGTCGGGGCTTTGCCGTTCGTCCACATTGTGCTTCCAGTTTAAAACAAAAAAAAAAACCCAAATACTTTTAATATACAGAGAGCTTTAAAAATGCAATTGCTACTGTTGTTGTTCTTCTGCAGGCTCCCTGTGCTTTCTTCACCACCTCTATAATATTGCTCCAGTTCAAATCCTGCCTCCCTCCTCATTATAGCGTAAGGATGGGGGTTAGGCCAGAGGACAACCTCAGGTGCTGTTCCTCAGGCACTGTCCACTTTCCTTTTGAGACAAGGTCTCTCTCTGGCCTAGAACTCACCATGGTGGCTAGGCTGACTGGCCAGCAAGCCCTAGCGATTTTCCCTGTCTTTACCTCCCCAGCACCAGGATTTCAGTGTGGGCCGCCATACCCAGATTCTTTGACTCGGGTTCTGGGAATCAAATGCTGTTTTCCAGATGGACATACTGAGACTTCTCCATAGATAATCCTATTTTCCAACTGGACAAGCCCCTTGCAAGTAAGCACTTTACCAATTGAGTTATCTCTTCAGCACCATAGGAATTTTGTGTGTGGGGGTGGGATGGGGGGATGTGTGTGTACAGTGTGTGTGGCATGGGGGGATGTGTATGTGTGTGCATGTGTGGTGTGTGTGTGGTGTGAGGGATGTGTGTGTACATGTGTGGTGTGTGTGTATGTGTGCATGCATGGGTGTGTGTGTGTGTGTTTGTGTGTGTGTGTGTGTGTGTGGTGTGGGGGGATATGTGTGCATGTATAGTGTGTGTGTATGAGTGTGTGTGTGTGTGTGTGTGTGTGGTGTGGGGCAAGTGTGAGAGGATGTGTGTGTGTGTGTACACGTGGTGTGGTGTGTGTGTGTGTGTGTGTGTGTGTGTGTGTGTGTGTGTGTTTGTTGGCCAAAGGTCAATCTCCAGTGTCATTCCTCGGAATGTTAGATACCTTATATTTTTTTGAGGCAGAGTCTCTCACTGGCCTGGAAATTGCTCAGTGGGCTATTCTGGATGGCTAGTGAGTCTAGGGATCCACGTGTTTCAACCTCCCTAGAACTGGTATTACAAATACAAACCACCAGGTCTGTGTTCATGGTTCTGGGGATCCAAACCAGGTCTTCATGCCTGCATGGCAAACACTTGACCGCCTGAGCCATTTCCCCAGCCCCTAGGCCATTTCAACGAGGCTCCCTTCACTCTGATGGCTTAATGGAGAGCAGCCGCCTAATGACCACGGGGTTCCTTTTGCCATGAGGGAAATGTTCTGGAAACACGACGATGGCCGCACAACATCGTGAATGAACTACGGGCATTTCAAACAGTCCATTTTATGTTGCGTATGTTTATGGCCTCCTCAAACCATAAAAAATAACTATCTTTTACTAAGAATTAACTGTTCCAGGAACAAGCTGGTGGTATAGTACAAATTCATTTAATTCTTGCACTAGTTCCAGGAAGCGGGTACTTCTATGATTCTTGATATGCAGTGAGGGAAATGAGGCTTAGTGTGGTCGTAGTGTTTACCTGGAACTTGGGGCTATGAGGTCAGTGCCCACGTCCTTCTTTACTGTGTTCTTTGCCCCCCTCCTGCTCACAAAGGCTCCACATCTCTATCCCTACAGTTTATTATCATCCATCGGATTTTCTTAAGTCTCAGATGTGATATACACATATTTATGGTCAGATTACTTTCTAGACTGCTATGACAGTACAAAAAAAAAAAACACTAAAAAACATCAGCCCTTAACAACCTTATGAGTGTCCACATTGCACTATTATTAAAATACTGTAACTTTTAAAAAGTGGGCTAATGTGGTAGGTACTAAATCGTTCTGGTCATTCTCTAATTTCTGTTTCCTTGGTAATTAAGGGGAGGGGGAGTCCGTCCCCTTACTTGTTTTATGAGTTTTATTTATTTTTTCCTTTGTATGAAAGCTGCTGCTTTTGTGGGCCAGGCTGAGACTGCACCCTTGCAGATCCACCAGAAGTGCTGCTGTCCGGATGGACCCACCCAGCCGGGACTTCTCAGCGATTCTGCCCAGGACCCAGCTTCCCAATTTGCAAGAGTTTTGTAGCATACCTTTGTTTTGCTAGCATGGAGCAGTCAAGAAATAATGGACAGTCCCTTCCCCAGACACTGTGACTAGACTTGTCTTGGGTTCAGAAAATGTGTAATCTGTCTGGTGATTGAAAGAGCTAGAAGAGACTTAAGGGCGTGGGACCAGATGGGACACGGCTTGAACTAAGTGCAGGAATGGGGGCAGTGCCCCTCTCACAATAGCTGGCTGAATGTGACTCTGTTGAGGAGTCACTGCTCTTGTTCACTTTTTGAACCCTGAGAAATCCACCGAAGTTTATGTGGTCCATGAAGTTATGCTGCCATCAGGTGGCCAAAGTCAAGAAGGCATCTTGTAAGTGGCCTAGGGCAGAAGTTCTGTTGGGAGGGCCCACTAGGCTAAGTCTAGCAGAAGCAGGACCTCTGAAAATCAGAAGGACATCAGAGGGGCCAACCTGGGTGAGTCCTCAGCCTCCACACCAAGTCAGCACTGGATATAAAAACCTGATCAAGTCCAAGACACGAAGTGAAGAGAGGGAGAATTCCGATCTAAGAAACTAAGAGCACTGATTGACTTGATGTCATTATTGATGTGGAGAGAAATTGGTGAGCGAGCTGGAGTCACGTGACTCATCTCAGTCCAGGTTACTATCCTAAGAATCATTTTCTCAGTAGATGTGTCATAGGACCAGAAATGATGGAGAGCTTAGTATGGGATGGTGTCAGAAATCTATGGTGGGGTAGGAAGAAAGGTGAATGGGCTTGGGGAATCAGGCGTGGCTGAGTTCAACGCTCTGGGGAAGTAATGATGATAATAGTGATGGTGGAGGTGATAATGGTGACCAGGATGACTGTGATGGTGGTACTGATGGTGAGGTGGACATGTTGATGGTGATAGAGATGACTGTGATGGCAGAGATGTCAATGATGATGGTGATGTGACGGAGCCCCAGGTGGTGAAGGAGTGGTGTTGATAGCAATGAGGATACTGATGATGAAGTGGGAATG